TGATTCAGCCTATCCAGGTCCCTCTGCAAAGGGACCAAAATTGTTCCAAAAATTCAGGGAGATTGCATTTAGCGCTTTCATTCCTTTTATCTCTTTTGCTTATAAACAAATGCTCTAACTACAAATACTTTTTTGCTTTCAGCGCCGAGAAGCTCGGAAACAAGAACAGGCAAACAACCCATTTTATATTAAAAGCTCTCCTTCCCCACAGAAGGTGAGTGAACCTGAATGAAAATGTTATAATTTTGTGAAGGCTCACTCTCAGAGCTGCAGCTTCCCTCTGGGAAATTCTGATTATTTCCTCTACAGTTTTGGATTATGTGATTGGAGTGGCAACCTACAACCATTTTTATAAGTCTCATTTGTGTTGAGAAACTGCTGAATGACCTGATACCACAAGAGCGGTCAGTTTTCTGTGAATCTCCAGTTTAGAAATAAGGAAGTGGTAATTGTCACAACTCCTATTACAGAGTAGTTCGGAACAATCTGGATTAACTTGTTGTAGAAAGCGCAGTGTTTATATTTCACTGGGGACTCTAAAAGCTGTAGAGAAACTTCTGTGTACCTGTCTCACAAATTTTCTGTGCAGGTAGTTTATCCCAACTCTGGGTTCAAAGTACCAGGCACTTCGTTAAGAGCAGTCAAAAGAGAGAGGACCTTGAACACGCAGTGTGTTTTATGGATCAAAAAGTCATTGTGGTCTCTTCTTACCACTTTTTTCAGGGAAAGAATCTGGTTTTTAACTCTGTATCTCCTAAGGACTGCCCCATCTCCCTCAACCTAAATCTCAAAATTTATCTTTTGAAGTGGCAAGTTGTTAGCTACAAAACACGAACCAAAAATTCTTCAGAAAGTTGCAACAAGCCATTTTCAGGGCAGTAGTAGGGTTAAAAAGCTGTAGCTAAAAGTAGGGTATTTCATAATAGTTATCAGCTGGCTTTAAAATACACCCTGCTCTACCACACAGGATTTAGTACTGAGCTATTGCATTCCTATCCTTTAAAATGTTCACTTAAAGGATTAAACTGTTTGATGTTTTGGAATGTGTCTATTTATATAGATTAGTATCTGGTAATGCTCTGAATGTGACACACTTTCATTTTCCCAGCGATACCAAGACACTCCAGGTGTGGAACATATACCTGTGGTCCAGATTGACCTTTCTGTCCCCTTGAAAGTTCCAGGTAAGTGTAGTTAATCTTTAAAATTAATTACAGAAAATCAACTAAGCAAAAGTAATAATTCCTTCTTAGAAATTCCTCCTTAGGTTTTTAAGGGCAAGGAACAGTCTTTCGTTAGACTCTTTAACTGTATCTCCATAATTTACATGTGTTTGAAAATAGAGCTTTGCAGTTGGAGTGCAGTTCCCCTCAGGATAGTATTAGAAGTAATTCTGTGGTGAAATATGTCATGCAGCCGAGTCTGTAACACGTAAACTAATCTCCATTCTGTGTAGGTAACAGTCACCTTTGAGGCATCTTAAAGGGCTGATGAAGGTGATAAGGAGACATTAAGTGCAGTCTGTAATGGTAGAGATACTATTTTAATATCTTGTTTCAGATATCGAAAGTACATCTCATGGGTGGTTTGATACAGGACTGAGAAGCTGTTGATAAAGTGCAGTACATTGCAAGTGATGAGTTTATAAGTACAAATATTTAAGGCTTACTTAAAGGTTTTTCCAAAGGTGTGGAAAGTTGTCAGTATTTGTAATGGTACCAACTCTACTTAAAGTATCGATGTTTAGATGCTGTCTGTAATCCCGTTAAAGTGGACAAGAACCAAGGAGCAGGATAGAGTTCTGTCCTGTTTTTGGAGCGGAGTGTGGCACTAAAGCTGCTGCTAGCGGGCTGTATGTGAGATGATAGGGAAACACAGAGAGGTGTTGATCCTTCTAATCGTGAGAAGCCAGAAGCAAGGTTCACTCCTAACATGTTGTTTCAGTGATCAGTGTCCATGTGGACTGTAGCCTGAAAGCAGTTTGGCTTCCTCTGCAGGAATGCCTATGCCTGACCAGAACGC